CTTGGCAATTTGAAGCCTACCAGGACGCGCTTACAGCTTGCAGATCGCTTGTTCGGTCACCCAGAAGGGATTGTGGAGGATGTGCTCGTCCGAGTGGGGAAGATGATAGTCCCCGTGGACTTCTTTGTGCTTGATGTTGGGAACATGATAGAAAATGGTAAGGAGCACGCCATCCTCCTCGGGCGACCCTTTATGGCGACCACCAGCACGATCATTGATGTGAAGAAGGGGACTGCGAGCATGACCGTGTTGGGGGAATCTACCTTCATTTATGTCCGAGAGACTCGACCTGAGCCGCAAGTGAAGTGTGTGGAAGAGTGTGCATACATTAGGGCGATTGAGCAGCTCAACGATAAAGCGTGTATGCGAGAACACGCGAAGAGGTCGTTGCAGGACCGTGCATGTGTTGAGAAAAGATGCCATACTGACCGCCACACTGCCCTCCGAAGCTTGTCTTGAGATTGGTTGATGATTATTGATGAGGTTGAGGAGATATGATGATGATCATGACTAGCATATCTTGGTGAACTTGAATCTTCGTTTTATTGGACATTATTTGCCTTGTGAGGTTTGAGCCTTATATTGTTTCTTGTGAGATATTAGTCGAAATATTTGGTGATCAGAACTTCCTTTGAGTCTGTTTTGAAATGAATTAGATGAAGTAGTGATTTGTGAAAATGATTAGGCATTTCTTTGACATTGCTCGTTTTAGCCTTTTTCATTGGCTATTGAAGTTATATTTTCATTAGTAGCCCGTTGAGCCTTGAACCGTATTTCTTGTCAACTGATTCGATTTAATTATTTGAGATTTGACTTGTTATGATGACGGAGCTTTCTAATATGTGTTTGGAGAAGGTTTATAACTTGGTTGAGTTGCATTTTGAGTGCTTGATAATAATAATAATAATAATAATAATAATAATAATAATAATAATAATAATAATAATAATAATAATAATAATAATAATAATAAATATGGGAACTCGTAAGACGGACGAAAAGGATTTCACTTCGCTTACTTGTTGAATTTCTTTCACGAGTAATGAGTATTGGGAAACCACTTTAGGACACTTGGATGACCTCCAATATTTAAACCTAGAGCATGTCGTCCTTACGTCTCAGTATTATTAGGAAAAAGCAACCCCCCCCCCCCAAAAAAAAGGAGAAAAACCAAAAAAAAAAATATAGTCGAGTACTTGAATTGCAATTCAACTTGAGCATATGCGAGTGTTGTATGGAGTTTTGATGAGAATGATTGGTTTCATGCTGATTTCTGATAGGTGGTGAGGTATTCCAGTAGTTTATATGCTCGAGAATTTGATTGTTTATTTGAGCCACTTTATCTTTCTTTTGATTCTTCCCTTATGCAAAATGCCTTTACTGCAACCCCAGAAGTCCTCTTGATTTACAAATTCATGATCTTTGATTGTTTTAGAGTATGAATATACAATAGGCAAGCTAATGTTGAAATATGATGGTCGGCCAATTTGAGCAGACCCATTTCATATTCATGCAAGAAACTAAGTGAGGCATATATGTATTATACTTCCGCACTTGAGAGATTGTCTTTTCAAAGCGTAGCATTCGAGTTGTAGTTGAGGCATGCATTATTTGTCATTGGAAGTCTCCTCGGCTAAGTTGATTAATTTGAGACTTGTCTTGTTTGAAATTGTTGTCCATCTCGTTTGCTTGTTTTCGTTTCTTTTCTTTTCTCTTTGTTCGGGACAAACAAAAGTTTTAGTGTGGGAGAGTTGTTTGTTCTTTGAGTTTTTCCTTGTTATTTTTCATTTATTTTTCCCCCCATTTTAGGTCTTCTTGTTGGTTTTGAGTTCGTTTTGTGTTTTGTCCATGTTTTCCTCTATTTAAAGTCTTTCTGTATTTATCGGTTGTTTACCGGTTTTCTCCGTTTTTGTTTTTCTTTTCTGGTGCGCTGGTCAGGACTTTCGGGAGGATTTATTTTCCATGATATATGGACCGGTGAATATGATTAAATAGAGCATTTCGCTGACAACACACAGGAAAAAGCGGATGCAGATTTCGAGTCCAGACGAACCCATCGAGCCTGAGACACGAAGTAGTGCGAGCTGCCCAGGCCCCGCGCACCTGCCGCGCCGTGCCGCGCCATGCACCACGACTGCGACAGAGACCCAAGCTCCAAAACCCCTTGGTTTTGAGTTCGTTTTGTGTTTTGTCCCATGTTTTCCTCTATTTAGAGTCTTTCTGTGCTTTATCGGTTGTATTTCGACTTTCTCCTTTTTTTTTTTTTTGTTTCTGGTGCACAAGTCAGGAGTTTCGAGAGGATTTATGTTCCATTATATATGGATTGGGTGAACATAATTGAAGAGAGCATTTCGTTGGCAACACACAAGAAAAAGCATAACGAAATTTGGATTCCAGACGAACCCAAACAAGCCCCAGACACGATGTAGTGCGAGCTGCCCAGGCCCCGCGCCCTCCCTGCGCCGCGCCACGCACCACGACTGAGACAGATACCCAGGCTTCCACACCCCCACGCTGAGGCACCACATGCACTCCACGTCGTTGCACAAGATGTGACGCCCATCACGATCCTTTAGACCAGCTGTTCAGGGCCCTGCGCTGCGGCATCCAGCATGCCGCGACAGTTCTCCATCCTCACGCCGGGGTACACAGGGTGACACGCATGACGAGCGGACAGAAGATTCGCCTTGCACGCCCGCCACGCCATGGCAAACTACCTCTCTACGCTACGGCACAGCCCCGCGCCGCGACTCCCGTTCCTTCCGCGCTGCGCTATGCTGCTCCACGTCGTGTCGCCTGCTGCATATATATATATATATATATATATATATATATATAAACGATTCAAAAATTATCTTATCTTCTCCCCGAAACAGAAAACCCTACCCCTTTTTCCTTCTGCTCGTTTTCTTCATTCTTCTACATAATTTTCAACGTAGAACACAAGATTGAACTTGGATGTCATTATTGCTTTTGGATTCAAGCTTGTTTATCGAATTCAACTTTGGGATTGATCAATCATAAGATTTTCTTTTAACTTAATCGTTAAATATGAATTCTTGGGTTGAGATTGTTTGTGTTGATTATTCGATTATGAGTAGCTAAATCTATATGCTAGGGAATAGGGGATGATGTCTTGATTTTGTTTGTGATTATCGTGTTTGTGATTGTTCAATTTATGCGAGTTGATCTTTTAGAAGGGTTTTTCAATCATCGTTCTTGAGTATTGAGAATTGTTGAAGAGTGACACTTCAACTTCTAATTGTTTACAGTTGAAGTTGATATATATGGGCATTATGTTGGTTGCTGTGATTGATTAATCGGTTAACCACCCTCAAGTCTATCTTAATCGAGGATCAAAACCAAAGGGGAGGAGTCGGTTGAAATAGGCTCGTATAAACTATGCTTGTTCGTAACTGTATTGCCTAGGTGTTAAATGACTTGTTAATTTGTCGTTCAAAATTTGTTCTCTTGTTACGAAGAGTTATTGAGGATGAGTATTTGAACGAGCAGGTTTGATATAGCCATACTATCGTATAACAGTTTATACTATCAACGGTTCAGAGATTACTAAGTCGACTTAGCCAAAGTCGACTCTCTCCGCAGACTCCCTATAACATCTCCGGTCAGGGGTCCAGGCATCTCTCGGTCGACTTCCACGATTCGACTAGAATAAGTCGATTCCCCCCGGAAAGACGGATAAGCGCGTCAGGGTCTACTGACGACTGAAGATGACCCAGTCGACTTGAGTTGGTATCCCGAGTCGACTGAGGAAGTCCCGAGGATCATAGATCCCCGATGATCCGATACATTTCAACATATCATAGGAAAGCTGTCAAGGATAAGAAGGAAGCTACTAAGGATAAGAAGAAATCTAAATGCTGACTAAGGAGATGGACGGAATGCGAACCGACTAGGGCATTTTGTACATTTCCAGTAAGTCGGCCGGGGCACTTTGGGGACTTCAGGTAAATGTCTTGCTTCTATAAAAAGGAGCTGAGGTAATCCCAAAACCCTAACTCCCATTCATTCTGTGCTTTCTTCCATTACTGTTGCTGCCCTCTCTGAGAGCAACTCTCTTCACCTCTTTCATATACTGACTTGAGTGTCGGAGGCTCTACACTGAAAACCCCTCCGGCGTTGAGTTCTTGCAGGTGTTCTCGCGGTTCAGCAACGGTTCAACGACGAACGAGGCAGATCTGAGCTCATTCCTATCGGTTCGTTTCAGATCTGAGCCTGTTTCCATTGATTCACTCCAGATCTGAGAGGAGACCCATCATTTTGGCGCCGCCTTTGGGAAGTTCTTGAAGGAATTAAGAGCTTTGCACCTAGCTTTAATCTGTCTCCGATGGCCGAGAAGGAAGGGCTGCAGAAAAATTTGAATGGGGATTTCAGGGCAACATGGACTGACAAGCGGCCTCCACCGATTCCTAACCCCAGGCCGCCACTCCAAGTGTTTGGTTTCACACCGTTCGGAGCACACGCGCCGCCAGGAGCGCGTATGGGAGAAGAAACTCCTATCACCCCACCTGGATCCAAGATCCAGTGCTCACTCAAGGGGAGGCCAGTCACGTGAAAGACACGAGCGGAGAAGTTGATGGTCATGCATCGACCGAAACATCTCTGAGATTGGGGAGGCAGCCTCGACAACTTGAACAGGAAACAAGGCCGCCACCCCAAGTCGAGGAGAAAACACTAACCATGACGAGAAGCGAGATGCAGAGGATGATTGCAGAGACAGTAGCGGCCCAACTCAAACAGACACAAGTCGACCAGCCCAAAATCGACCAACCCAGGTTCGAGCAGCCAAAGGTCGAGCAGCCTCGAATCGAACAGCTTCCCCCGGAGCGTGAACAACAAGCTCAATCCCATGAAAGATAGCGTAGGAGGGCGGACGAAGAGGAGTCTTCTATCAGAACAGTCAATCCACAAGCAAGGAACGACACGCTAGAGCAATTGCTAGCTCAGGTGCAAGATCTGCAGGCCTGAGTCGAGGGGAGAAAAATGGGGAGCTCGAGAGGACATCCCTTCTCACAACACATTCTAGACGCCGACTTACCTCAGGGGTTCAGGGAGCTTAACATCTGGTACGATGGGTCGACTGATCCCTCTCGACATCTAAGGAGTTTTGAAAATATGGCGGTACTACACTGCTACAATGACCCCGTTCAATGTCGAGCGTTCTTGATGACTCTACGAGGACCTGTGAAAGATTGGTTCCATCAGTTACCTCCAGGAGCCGTCAGGGACTTTGACGGATTCAACTCGAGTTTTTTGAATCAATTTTCAAGCGTGAAGGCCCAAGAAAAATCTTATCTTACTCTGATAGGTATGCAACAGAAGGAGGGAGAATCGTTGCGAGATTATGTGGCGAGGTACACGCGAGCGTGTGTCGATGTACCTTCGGCCATCGAGGAAATTAAATCGGGAGGACTCACCAGGGGATTGCTCCCAGGACTGTGTAGAAACTCTTTGGCGAAGCGCCCCGGGAGGACTTTTGATGAGGTTCTGGGAAGGTGTGCCAAATATATGAATGTTGAGGAAGAAGAAGCCGACTTCTTGCAAGTGGCGAAGGCGAAAATCGAACCCCGAGAAGAGAAGAAGGATAAGAAGCCGAGTTCGACGCTAGAGAGGAAAGGATCCCCGAGAATAGAGAGAGGGACGGTCGAGGGGGTGGAGGCCAACTCAGTACACCCCCTTGTCGGCCCCGAATGCGAGAATATTGGAGGTGATGGAGAAGGAGATCCGTGATAATGTCGTCAGGTGGCCGTGGACGAGAAAGGATGGACCAACAAAACCCAAAAGTAATCTGTATTGTCGGTTCCACAAGGATTATGGGCACAACACCGACGATTTTAGGCACCTCAAGGACGAGATCGAAAGACTAATCAAAGCCGGTCATCTGAAGGAGTTCATTTATAAGGATCGAGAAAGAACCAGTCGACGCCGGGAAAGAAGCAAGAGCCCTCGCAAGAGGGCGATGACTCCCGACAAAGAGGAGCTTCCTCAGAAGAGAGGGGTAATTCATATGATATTCGGAGGGCCGACTGATGGAGATTCAAATCGGGCCAGAAAAGCATATGCTCGAGGGCGCTATGGAAAAGCCGAGGTGCAGCAAGTTGAGGAGAACGGCTCGGTGATGAATTTGGGGCCAGCGGATATAGGCAAAATCGAGAGGCCACATAATGATGCTTCAATGATAACGGCCCAAGTGTCGGGTTACGAGGTCCAAAGGGTGTTCGTCGACACCGGGAGTTCGGTGAACGTGATCTTCTATAACTGCCTCAAGAGGATGGAGCTGGATCTCGAGTTAGCGCCGTTGCATACATCACTTTTTGGATTCAATGGATCAGAAGTTGCACCCCTGGGAGAAACTACGCTCGCAGTCGTCCTGGGAGAAGGAGACCTGTGGAAAGTCAAGATGGTGAGATTCGTAGTAGTCGATGTCGAGTCCGCCAACAATGTGATTCTCGGGAGGCCGGTGTTGAACGCATTCCAGGCGGTGGTATCAAATTACCACATGAAACTGAAATTTCCGGTAGGAGGTCGAGTTGGAGAGGCTCAAGGGGACCAACGATTGTCGAGAACCTGCTATCAGATAGCAGTAAAAACTAACCAATGAACGGAAGTCAAGGAGGGTAAAAAACCGATGTCGAGTGAAAAAAGACCTAGGGAGAATGACCTCGAACCACATGGAGAGTTGATGGAAATCCAAATTGGGGAGAGGGAGGATCAAATCACCAAAATAGGAAGAGAATTGGACGATGAGTTGCGTAAACAACTGGTGGAGTTGCTAAAAGAATTCAGAGACATATTCGCCTTCTCCCTTGAGGAGCTGACGGGAATCGACCCAGACATCATGGAGCACAAACTCAATGTCGATCCCCTCAAGAAACCCGTAAAGCAGCGACTCAGACATCATGGGGCCGAGATTGACAAAGAAATTGAAGTCGAAGTAGACAAGTTGTTAAAGGCCAAATATATCAAAGAAATCCAATTCTCTGAATGGATATCGAACACGGTGATGGTGAGAAAAATGGTGAACAAGTTGCGTATGTGCATTGACTTCCATGACCTAAATCTTGCTTGCCCAAAGGATCATTATCCGCTACCAAGAATTGATCAGCTAGTCGACTCTACGGCTGGTTGCGAATTACTGAGTATGATGGACGCATCCCAAGGGTAACACCAAATCCAATTGGCCCCGGAAGATCAGAGTAAAGTGAGCTTCGTGACGAGCAAAGGAACATACTGTTATGTCTTCATGCCCTTCGGACTCAAGAACGCAGGGTCGACTTACCAAAGGCTGATGGATCGGATGTTTAAATTGCAGATAGGGCGTAATATGGAGGTGTACGTAGACAACATCTTGGTGAAAAGAAGGTCCTCAACTTCGCATGTCGAGAATCTAAAAGAAACTTTCAGCACACTGAGGACATTTGGGATGAAACTGAATCCAAGCAAGTGCACCTTCGGAGTGAAGTCAGGACGATTCCTTGGATATGTTGTGACTGAAAGGGGGATTTAAGTCAACAAGGATAAGGTGAAGGCCATACTCGACATGGCCCCACCAAAGAGCGTCAAAGAAGTACAAGTCTTGACGGGTCGAATTGTCGGCCTGAGCAGATTCATCGCTCGAGTGGCAGAGAGGAGTTTCCCGTTCTTTAAATTACTTAAAAAGAAAGCTTTTCAGTGGAACGACGAGGCGCAAATGGCATTTGAAAAACTGAAAGAATTTCTAGGCGAGTTGCCTTTATTAACCAAACCGGAGCCAGATGATGAACTAGTGCTTTATATCTCAGTTGGAACATTTTCCTTGAGCTCAGTGTTACTGAGGGAGACAGGAGGAGCCCAATAGACAATTTATTATACAAGTCGGGTACTTCAAGGTGCGGAGACGAGATACCCCGAAGTCGAGAAGGCTGCCCTGACATTGGTGATAACAACTAGAAAATTGAGGCCCTATTTTCTGAATCATGTGATAGTAGTGAGGACAAACTTCCAGCTTGGAGAGACTCTGGGTCGACCTACAGTGTCGGGTCGACTCGTGAAATGGGCAGTCGAGTTAAGTGAGTACTCCATCAAATACGAACCAAGGAGAGCTATAAAAGCCCAAGCTTTAGCGGATTTCATCCAGGAAGGAACTAAAGGGGAAGAAAAGAAATGGATCATGCATGTCGACGGATCCTCAGCAGCCAAAGGGTCGGGTCTAGGGGTTGTCCTAGTATCTCCCGAAGGCGAACAACTCGATTTCGCCATCAGAATGGGCTTCAAGGCCTGGAATAACGAAGCAGAGTATGAGGCGCTAATTAAAGGGATCCAACTCGCAATTGGTGGTGGAGCGACAGAAATCGTGGCCCATTCCGACTCACAATCGGTTGTGGGCCAAGTGATGGGAAACTACAAAGTAAAAGAAGATAGAATGATGAAGTATGTTGAGGAAATCCAAAGCCTCATACAAGGTCTAGAGAAATTCGAGCTGACTCAAATCTCTCGAGAGGAAAACAAGCGAGCCGATTGGCTCGCAAGAATTGCAAGCTGTAATGAAGGAAAAATGGGAGGTCATATTACCACGATGCACCTGGAAGGAAGTGCTCTTAGCCAAACAATGAAAGTCGATGAAAAAGACGATTGGAGGACGTTAATTCATGAACTCTTGGAGGGACGCATACCTGCAGGAGATAGACAAGAAGCAGAGAAAGCTGCCCGATATCTAACCAAGTACTTTGAAGTCAACGGAATCCTGTATAAGAAGTCGATTATTGGGCCTCACCTGCGCTGCGTTTCCGAAGAAGAAGGGAACCATGTCCTAAAAGAAGTTCATGAAGGATGTTGCGGGGCACACGCAGGGTCTCAAGCCTTAGCCGGCAAAGCCTTGAGAGCAGGTTACTACGGGCCGAAGATACGGAAGATGGCCGAATAGTTAGTGCAGGGATGCGAGAGATGCCAACGACACGGTCCGATTCCCCATATCCCGACTGAAACCATGACGACAATCAATTGCCCGATACCCTTCGCTCAATGGGGAATCAACTTGGTGGGACCTTTGCCGATGGGAACGGGGCAAAGAAAATTCCTTGTAGTCGAAGTCGACTACTTCAGTAAATGGGTTGAGGCAGAGCCACTGGCAAAGATTACCAAAGAAAAAATGATACAGTTCCTATTTAACAACATTTGTTGTCGATTCGGAGTCCCGAAGATATTAATCTCAGATAATGGAACTCAATTTCAAGGCAAACGAATCCAAGCATGGTGTCTCAACATGGGCATTAAACAATGATTTGCCTCAGAAGCGCACCCCCAAGCAAATGGCCAAGTTGAAGTGACGAATCGAACTATCCTCCAAGGACTGAAGAAAAGATTGGAAAAAGCATCAGGGGCATGCGTCGATGAGCTAACGACTGTCCTTTGGGCCTATAGGACGACTCCGAGAAGTTCAACGGGTCAATCCCCGTTCCACATGGTATATGACATGGACGCGCTCCTACCCATTGAAATAGGTTTACTGTCTCACAGGTCAACATTCTATGAAGAAGGAAAGAACGATGAAATGGTTGCGGAAGCTCTCGACTTAATTGAAGAAGGGCGAGAGGAAGCTTGGGTACGATCCGTTGAGTACAAGCAAAAGATGCGCGCAGCCTTTGACAAGAAAGTTCGAACCCGACGCTTCCAAGTTGGAGACCTCGTCCTCAAGCGAGCAGACGCCCTCAAACACGTTGGGAAACTTGAAGCTAATTGGCAGGGCCCCTTCACAATCGCAAAGGTTCTCGAGAGAGGTGCATACGAACTCGAAGATGGAGTAGATCGACAGCTGCCTCGATCTTGGCACGTGATCCATCTCAAGCGCTTTTACGCTTAAGATAATGCCCCGCACTCTTTTGTACTGAACAACGTTCAAATCAAATTCAGTTATGAAATAAACTTCGAATTTACGTTTCAATTATGTCCTTTACATTTCATTATGTCGACCCTATCATGCTTACTCGAAGAATCGAACTTTTTTAAGAACTGCAAACAGTTTAACATATTACAGAAATGAATGTAAATAAACTGCAAAGTTGTAACTCGAGTAGAATCTTGACAAGGCTATGAAGCCTACGACTACGAAGTCGGTTTGAACAACCACGAAGTTGTAACTCGAGTAGAATCTCGATAAGGCTATGAAGCCTACGACTACGGAGTCGATTTGAACAACCACAAAGTTGTAACTCGAGTAGAATCTCCATAAGGCTATGAAGCCTATGACTACGAAGTCGATTTTGAACAACTACGAAGTTATAACTCGAGTGGAACCTCGACAGGGCTACGAAGCCTGCGACTAAGAAGTCGATTTAAACAACTATGAAGTTGTAACTCGAGTGGAACCTCGACAGGGCTACGAAGCCTACGACTACGAAGTCAATTTTAATAACTACGAAGTTGATTTAAACAACGAAAATACACTCAAGGTATTGAAATCGAAGAAAGCCTACCTCAAGTGTTAAACATATATGGCAATCCAAGGACAAAAGAAAAAGACAAAATACGACGAAAACAAAAGATAATATTCATGATAAGTTCATTACAAGAGAAAACAGTCTCGACCTTTACAATCTGAAAATAGGTCGAGAGCGATAAAAAAAACAGAAGCAAAGCTTCGAGAAATAAAAGGCGGCAGCCCAAAGATACAATTCTAGGAATCGGCACCAGACTTCTCGGCGTCCTCATCGCTCCCCTCAATGGCGATCGCTATTTGACCTTCCTCACGATTAGCCCCGCTAGGCTGGACCGGTGAAGCGGAAGGAGCCTCGAGCCGAGAGAAAAGTCTTGCAACTTGAATAGCCTTAGCCACGAGACCAGACCACCATGGGTAATCATCCGTGAGGGATGTGTCACCCTCATAGACGTCAGGGTCGGGGAGCGTCATCCTCATCGCCTCGCGATCGAGTTTTCCGACAAACTCAGACCCCGCCACCACCTCCTCCCATGCATCGAAAGTATAGTCGTAGTACTGGAAGGCGGCGGGGCAAAGCCTGTCGAGAAACTCAGGCGAGTTGCAGAAAGCCTTGACAACTTCTTTGCGGTAGGCCTCGACAAAGGCATAGCCCACGGTGGACCTTAGAAATGACTTTCGGCCCTGCACGGTGCCGATATCCCTCTCGAACACCACCTCATCTCGAGCCTTTTCGAGGTCGGCCTGGAGCTTCTCATTGTCATGCTGGGCCACGACCTCGTCGGCTTTCAGCTTATCTACCAAAGCTTTAGACCCCTCCAGATCCTTCTTCAGCTTGGCGATTTCTCTAAGTTGCACCTCGCATTTGTCCTCGAGAGCCTTGGTGGAGGAGGTAGGAGCCTTGGTACCCGCCTCGAGACCAGGAAGAATGGCTGCTAAGAACTACACAAAAAAAAAGAGAAGAGTAAGCAAATAATACATAAATATATAAACATAAACACTAAACTCGAGTAAGAAGCACATACCCGAGTAAGGCACTGGGTAGCGTA